AACCGCTTTCTTATCATCATTCTTTCCTGACATTTTTCTTTACCCTTTCTTACTTACGGCGTACATTTGCTGGGAACATTAAGTTTTTGCGCCCTAGGCCTTCAACTGGTTGGTGACGACATTTCATTAGCTATTGTGCACTGGTGTCCAATCAGAGCTAGTGCTTTTCAGGCTTCATTTTCTGTTGTAACACGGCGACCAGTCGGACTGTCCTTGCCTTCTTACTTGCTGCTTCATTTTGCTGTACAGTTCAGTGCTACAGCATTTCCTGACTTATAATTAGCAGCTGCAGGCTTCATTTTCTGTCGTATAAACACAGCGACCAGTCGGACTGTCCTTGCCTCCTTACTTGCTGCTTCATTTTGCTGTACAGTTCAGTGCTACAGCATTTCCTGACTTATAATTAGCAGCTGCAGGTTTCATTTTCTGTTGTAACACAGCGACCAGTCGGACTGTCCTTGCCTTCTTGCTGCTTCATTTTGCTGTGCAGTTCAGTGCTACATTTCCTGACTTATAATTAGCAGCTGCAGGCTTCATTTTCTGTCGTATAAACACAGCGACCAGTCGGACTGCCCTTTCCTATTTGCTGCTTCAGTCGCTGTATAGCTCAGTGCTGCAGACTTTCTGACTTAAGCTCTGACGCTTGCGTTCATGTGACCAGGCAACAGTCAACTCATTCCTGTACTGACAAACGACGTCGTTGGTGACTTCAAATGTTGACGGCTGCCTGTTTGTTTGTGTCGTCTCCCTGTTTGTATTTGTGTGTATAGAAGACGTGGGGTGCTGTCTGTTGAGTGTCACAAGACAAGACCCTCAAAACACCGTGGACGGTCATCGCGCAAACCCTCGAATCTGCAAGAAAATAGAACACAAATTTTTAACCGTAAAATCGAAGAGCAGCCAGAGAAGGGGACATGGAAGTGGATAAAGGAACAGTCCAGCAGGTTCAACTTCTCGTGATCAATTTTCTGATCATCGGGATCTTGGGTTTGGTCTTTTACGTCTTCCTGGAGACGTTCTTCTTCTAGCTCTTCGGGTCTATAGCTAGTTGTTTTAAAGATATGTTAACGCCTATCTAACATAGGTGCTGTTCTCTGTGGGAATTCTTAGGATACGTAGATGCTTCACATTTATGACTAAGATCTGTAAGCAAATTCAAAGGCATGTATGTTGGCATGTAAATGCAATGGGCAAAATCCTAACAATTTAAACGTGCGGTTGGAACTGGTTTTAGCTTTTACCACAAGATCTAAAACATTATTGACCTGAACTATTGCCGGACATGTCAAATAAATTTATTTGAGAAAAGCAGGTACTAAGATACATATCATGGTGTTCTCATTGTATTCTTTAATTACTTTGAACTTCAACAATACTCAACAGATTAAAATAGAACAAGAAATCGCGGACTCGACACATACACACAAACTATCACTTAACGCAACCAAAAACAATACTTCCGTCCGAATGCTCCTCTTTGTGCTGTCTTCCTCATGAAGATTGTAAAGCAACATTTTAAGGTTTGTTTTGTGTCCATTTGTTGGTCTGTTGACTTCCTTCTTGCGTTTTCTTTAAGTCTGTCAATATCACAGGATATTGTAATGTGATGTTGTACTCCCGTTGACGTCTAACCTATACGTAAAAAGGGACATTAAAGTTAAAACCGCATTTTAGACGTGGTCTTGAAATGTTTATGTGAGTCTACAGTATTTGTTTCCCTTGTATGTGTGTAGTATGTGTCATTGACAAATTTGGCGAATTCCCTACGATCCATCCCCCTATGATTCCAATAGTACCAGATGGTATAAGTTCTGAAACAGGTCTGAACTGTATTTGGCTTCTTTGGTACCTCTTGCAAAATGTCTGGTTCCGTACCAAGATTTGCATTTTGTTCAATGAGACCTGCTGTTCAGGCAACTCTATACATGTATGTATGTGCTGTAAAACATCCGAACTACATGTACATGTCGGTGACCTAGTGAGTTTGTGTTCAAAGAACCTTGACAAAGACTTGAGTCCGATTTGTGTTAGAAACTACATGTATATGCAGAGAAAACCTGCTTCAGTACGTAGTACGCTACTTCCAGAGGGTATGTACGTACGGCCACCATTTTGTTTTCTAGAGCCAACTGTCACTGGTATCAAAGAGGGAATCTGCCTGGAAGATCTGCAAGATGGACACCGATACCATCAAAAACGCTCAGAGTTTGATCATCAACTTTTTGGTGATCGCCTGTTTGTGTGTCATCTTCTATGTTTTCCTCGAAACATTTTTCTTCTAAAGAAATAGATGTCACTACTAGATATGTAATGTTTGATTACATGTAGAATGAGTTAAACATTGTAACTTAAAAAAAACGTGCCTGGCCAAAGGCAAAATTCAGTCAAGTCAATATGGTAGTGAATGTGTCACTGTAGTATATTTGTACGTTGTCAGAGCCAGAAAATGGTGGTTGAATCTGAACAAATTTACAGTGTACGGATAGTCTAATAGTAGACACGATTCAGATCCTACTTCTTAATGATTCGCATAGAGCGCCGTTACAGAGAAGCAACAGTTTTTTTGGTGTACTGGTTGTTAAAATATGCCTATGAGCAGTCTCATATGAACTGATGTGCACTGATGACAAAAATTTGAAGGGTTAGTTAATGACCAATCAGAACACACTGTTGGACCACGTGATGGCTGGTCGGAAGCTGATTGGCGTGGTCAAAGATCCCATGAAGCCTTGGTGCAGGGATGGGAGGAAGGTCGAAGAAACAACTTACAAAGGTACTGCCACCTTTCCAGCTGCTGTTCGCCATTCTCTTCTGTCGCATAGTCAGTCCTCTGCTGCTGACTTTTTTCTTTGCAAACTATGTGCATAGAAGAGGACGACATCACCGCGTGCTATATATGTGTGTCCGGTAAAGAACGTGCCATTAAGTGAAATCACCGCTGGCCGAGTCCAATTTAACGTAATTAACGCGTGATGTTTCTCAACCAATGGCGGCTGACAACCATGAGGGTCTGCATGGGGGGGGGGCGTGGGCGGGATACTGGCAACGCTTTATGGAACATTTCGTAGGGTCGGCAATAACATAAAGCTTTGACTATGAATTCAGGATAACAAATAACGCGCTACGTTATCAAAGCTATCAATTACGCTTCACGGATAATTTTCCAACAACCCGGCCGGCTACGATTAACGGTACGCTTGTAAACGACATGCAGACCCTCATTCATCGTTCTCTAGCTTTAGGCTTCATATTTGCAGCCTTTTGCCCCTTTCCGTTCCGTCCGCAGTTTTATCTGCCCTGTTGCTATCTTCACAGCAATGACTTCTTTCTTCTTCCAGCTATGTGCAATTAAGACCTCTTACGCATATCATTGCATAATTTTGATCTTAATATATATGTATACATTGTATGCATATAATGTATTTGTCTACTTTACTTGGTGTGGTAGTCTGATTCTCACCTTTCTATCAAAGAAACCAGGAATTCTCTTTCAAATGACGACCAGGCTATGCTCTTACCTGTAAAATGTACTACTATTATTCTCTGAAGCCTGTCTGAAGAATGTTTCTTGTCACAACTTTGCAGGGAGGAAGGCAAAATGGACTCATCAACAATCCAGAGTATCCAGCTGTTGGTCATCAACTTCCTTATCATCGGCATCTTGTGTCTGCTGTTCTATGTCTTCTTGGAGACAGTCTTCTTCTGACGTCTTGTAAAACTGGACTTTCTTTCTAGGCATACACATGTACCCCCCTCCTTAATTTTGTCACAAACCAACTTTGTACATTACGCAACTCCTGTATATATGTTATACTTACCTAGCCTCCACCAGGCCTTTCTATGGGAATACGGATCGTAGAATTCGGCAAAAAAGAGAGTAAAATTGGCCACGGGAGTCCGGCCGCGGGGAGGTTGTTTCTTTCCCTGTGCGGTCCAGTCAAACCTACAAGGCGGCCAAACTCCCCTGGCAAATATTCTCCTATATATAGCCAGCGTAGTTAGTCTGGTAGAGACTAAATACTTACCTACCGTAATTGCCATGATGAAGATAGCAGATCATCAAAACGACGGATGTTGTGAAACAAGTGGTTGTGATTAAGCAACTTTGCTAACGCTATTCTACCCGAAATCTTGTTCAGTGCCGTTTATGATGTAAGGAATACAAAATAATTCCCGTAGTCACTGTGTAGGTTTAACATACATGTACTAGACATTACACTATACTAAGAGATACTATTGAACCAGATGCCATCATATCATTATATATTACTGTTTTGTCACGTCCTGGTTTTGTTTATGTGCTAAGTTTACTGAGATTACAAAGACCATTCAGAGTGGTTGTCTTGCCGGACAGAGATTGGTAGCCATGCTGGATAATTAGTTCGTGGAAAAACAGGTCCGTGTTAGTTGTGATATAACAAAGAACAAAAAAAAACATACAAGCAAAAGCAGAAGTGGCAATGATATGTCACTATACATATTGATAGTCAGATGAGCTCTAGCGTTCAGATGTGCATCTTTTGCATGGACGACTGCTATCTCTAATAAAACATTTCAAATAATAGATAGATTCGTTTGTAAACTCTTAAACTATTTGTTACTTTGTCTCGTTGTACTGTAAGCATACTGCAACGTTTGTTGGAGTAGCTTGTTCAAATTCGTAGAAAATTTCAAACATGCAGGAAACATACGGAGAAAACATGGTGTGCCGTCCCCGAATCGCAATATTACAATGGTGATGGTGGTGTTCACATAAAGTTACAAAGCAATACATTTGACTGTGAAGGTCTATGTATCAAAATATACAAATTTTTAAATCACCAGTCCATATAAAATACAATACGAGAAACTAAGGCTAAAAGTGACATTATGATATTGAATTTTTGTAAACTCTAATTGCAGAATGCAAGAAGGGCTGTTTTAACTGTGACAAGGGCACAGGATATATATAATACAATGCCTTGGGAGAATTAAAAAAAAATACTCCACACATGTCGGTGCATTTGTAATGGCTTTTAATCATGCATGGCACACAAGATAGTGCAGGTATCAATTTGTAGTGATCAGCAAAATGTATACATCCAAATTAAATCAACCAGAGTGGAGTCAACATAACAATAAACAAATGTCAATCACTTCTCAAAATCATATCTTTAAGCATGCCTTAAAGTGTGCGTAAAGTTCCTATTATCCACTCGAATGAAAAAAACAGTAACCTTTACGCATACTTTAAGCTGTGTGTAAAGATAGATTTTCATGCAGTGTCCCACGGCAAAATTTCAGTTTACAATTATTTTATTTCACTAGTTTTTAACCATTCTGTTGATGCTGAATTCTCCTTCAATTACATCCTTGATTGTTTCCATACCATATTCACAAAGTTTAACCATATCCAAATAACATTTCATCATGCTGAAGCTCAAATCATATAAATAACACTGAACAATTAAGCTCATTCTTCTTCACATTGCAAATCTCATATCACAGATCAAAAGACTAAAATATTACTTCTAACACATGTAATAGCAGCATACGCAGTTTCCTTCCTCAAACATTTGATTTTCCTCGAAATCATATGATCTTTGATATAATATATGTATAAATCTGGACAAACTATGATTGGAAAAATACTAATATGTGACGTAATACAAATATGTGTTCAGCTCTCAAACTTGACCTACTACGTGTAAAACAAAGATGGCGGCCGTGAAAATCTCATGTTGGCTTTCAATACTTCAAGTTTTCCTTTCACTGTACGAGTCAGGATGAAGAGTTCTTAGCGCATGGAGGACCTGAAAATAGAAGTTCGTGAAACATTATGACATGTATTTCAGGAAAAAAGCCTGATTTGGAAAATAAGAGTCGTCCACGCACTGATTTTTCAACTTCACATCAGTTAAACCATGGAGGTAAAAAAGAGATCTTTTTTACCTCCATGGTTAAACATAGAATATTTACTTTCCACAAATCACCACCAGACACCACACAATTTTATTTATTTTAATTCAATTGCAACAAGGCAATACATTGGCCACCCAGGCAGCATGGCTGATTTCGGGTGCCAAAAGATACACAAATTAAACATACACAACACCACACAATACCACATGAGTTTACAAATCCAAATCCTGATAAGAGTTAGTGTTAGAACCTGGAAGTGAGAACAGAGCTCATAGGATCGCACGCAGAAGCAAATTGCTGAAAGCACTCTGCAGGCAAACATTCAATCTGTAGGCTGAAATTCAGCAAGATCGTTAGAAGTTCCATCAGCACATTGAAGGCAAAGGCGGGCAGACATTAGTTGAGAAGATCGGATGATGGGTTAGGTGGGAATATGGTCTCATGTTGGCCCAGGAGAAAGTTACAGAAGCATGTAAATGAGGACAGATCAACGCCAGCACTTGTAAGCATTTAGCAAGGAAAGACTCATTCAGTAGTAGGGAAAAGCTGGAATCAAGCAAGAACATCCGTTAGTACAGGAAAGAAAAGATAAACCAGAGGTCAGAGGTAAGGGTTGGATAGGGACAGCCCGTCGAATCGACCAATCCTGGCTGTCCATCACATTAGCAGATCAACCAATGAGAGAGTGTTAATTAGTGATTCGACCAATGGGATGGCTGCATTGGTGGGGGATGGGCGGAGCTAAAGAGAAGTCTATTACCTAGATGACGAACTGTGTATAGAGGCACTGCCGATGGAAGATCGTCTTTCTCCGGTGATACGTGGCCGATAATATCTGTGGATACGAGATGCAAATAGTTCTGCTAGGTTAATGAAATGAAATACCATTATTGTACATTCATGCCACGACGGGCTAGGTACAGGTCAAGACTTAACATACACATTACAGACGTATGTAGAAAAGTGGAGACAAAAGATACACTACTTGACTTTAAGACATACATACATAAGGAACATACAAGGGTACTATACTAGGCTAATACAAAGTGTTTTAGTTACTGAGCTAATACAGACAGGTCAACTTCTTCTCGTTTTTTTGTACAGTGGAAAATGTGGGAACAGATCATGTTTGTGATACATGGTTTACCACCATTCAAACTAAACCATCAACTACCGAGACTCTTTTTGCTGTCTTTTTTCCAACTCTACGAATGAATCCACCGTTTAGGATTCAATAGCATGATAACTATTTCTGTCATAACACCGATGAAGGTTAGACATCCAGCTGCAGGTACTGGGATAAACACAAGAAAGCGGCCACTCAAGTAAGTGAATAGATTATAAAAATCAGAGGATAAATTTTGATACCTTTCCAACTACAGATTCTCTTAGCCACTGACGAAAGGTACAAATGCAAGGTACTTGAAACGTCTGACAGTTTTTAACATCCATCCAGTTTCTTGCTTGCTTTAACAGTTTTCTCGTGTATTTCTGCCATTGATTTTACAGCTTTAAACTTTAAGATAGGTGGCAAGTGGTAGACAAAATCGAGTGACAGTTTGGTGATTTCCCGTTCCCTGCTGATAATTTGCATATCATCGTCCGAGTTCAAATAATTTGCATGTACATGATCATTTGCCTGGTATCCAGTCTTACGTGATTGGGGGTATTGGGCTGTTCCGGCAGGTTGTGCCTTCGGGGGCTCGAATAGCTTCCCCCGCCCAGTGTAACAGGCCGTCCCAGTAGGAGTGTTACGCCAATAAGAGACAGTATGCTTGGGGATTTGGTTTCCCCCAACACGATAGGAATCAATCTCTCGTGAAATACACACCAGGAAACCTATGTGAGGCGGGCGGGACAGAGCTCTTGCGGCCCCGGCCACGAATCAGATTCGATACCAGGCTACATGATCATTTTCATGTACAGCGATATCGTTCGTAGACGTTGTACCTCGGTACCTACGTCAGCCACGGTAAAAATGGGACAGGACAATGGCTCACCTAGAAGGCAGGTCTCCGATGGTGGACACGGGTCGGGTCGGAGGCCGTGCACTTCCCCGGGAGACAGCCCGGCCGCCCTCCGCGGTCCGTCCTCGCTCCTGGTCCGTCGCTTTCATGTCTTTTCCCTTCCCCCTGGAAGTAAGGTCAGTGATCACTTCCGATTTATCTGTTTTTTTTTTTATTTCAGGCTTCCCAAAAAACAGTTTTTAATCTTTGTAAATAATGTATTATATATCTTGATAATGCATTGTACAGTATTTGATGTTTAATGTATTATATTTGATGTTTTATGTATAATATTTCATGTTAATAGTCCTATAGGCATAAGAAAAGTTCGACCATTCTCTATGGATTAGCTACGAGCTTATGATTGTCAATACGATGTCATATACAGTAGACGCTTACCATGGGTTCTGGTACCGATGTGTGTAGCTGTTCTCACAAGCTTCTCGAAACTCTCCAAGCTTGAAAAACAAAGGGAGCAATCATGGTTAGAAAATACTACTGTTTGACGAAAAAAGCCGCTAGAACTTCTTCAGTAACAATTGTCAATTTTAACCTAAATGGTCTACAAACTCTGTATTTTTCACCTTTTTCTGTCTTTTCTCATGTTCTGATTGTACGGTGATTCTAGTTAGTATACTCTCCTGATGATCGTAGTTAGGTAGCGTACGAGGACGCACGCTGATTAGAGGAGAGGGGGTAGTGTAACAGGCCTGACCCGTCAGTGATTTATGGGCCTGTGACGTAGTTACTTATGACGTATAACATACCTTGAAATGTGCGTTAGTTGTCAGCGCCCGTTTGTCCCCCAGTTCGGGGATGGCCCAGCCGATCTCCCCGACCCTCTGGTGCTTCCCCAGCGGGAAGGGAGTCCCCCTAGCGGCGCGCCAGAGGTACAGCACCTCGCTGGTGCCCTCCGGGGACATGGTGCCAATACCGGTATGACGGACCTCGTCTGGGACGTTTACACGGTAGTCGGACATGCCGTCCACTCCTAGAGTTTGGTCAAGAAAAAAAATCAGTCAACTAAGCATGAAAAACTCTTTTACAAAAGTGTTAGAAACGAACAAAAAAAATATCCATTCAAGACTGCACAGTGCACACCCTCAATTCTATATCTAGCGACCGCCTCTTCAAGGTAATAATTCTGAAGAAAAATAACTGCATGTATGAAATGGAAAAGAGACCGACTAAGTTTTGTTTCGTCAACATCTCTAACTTGGACAGTAACCTATCGTGGGTATACCGGTAGCTTGGTTGGCACATCCTTTTTCTATCCCCCTTTCTTTGTCTATGTCTCAGTTACGTCGAAAAGTTAAAAAAAAAAGAAAATAGTTAAAAAACCTCCTGTCTCTCTTGTCTAGTTTTCCCTCTTTTTTGATTTTGTTATACCCCAATTGAAAACGGGGTACTTAGTCACAGAAAAAAGCATCTCACGCGTCATAGTCAAGAAATACATAAAACATGTACAGCCTGAACGCGTGCCATTTGAACCGACGTTTGAAGACATTTTAGCTACAACACCGGCGACAATAAAGCTTTACCATTAGCTAAGATCACACAAAGAAACACGCAACAGTAATCAATCACCATTACGGGCTATGCACACACAGAAACAAGCCTGTATCACAAAAGACGCCACAGTGTAAGAACAACATTCTAAAACTTGCTGAAGACTACCGTCTGTTGATTCAACAGTGTAGCAACGGCTTGTTATGTTACAGTGAAGTGACAAACACGTCAAATGATCAATTTTTACATGTATTTCGTGACATCAATTTGAAGGAAAGAGGGCGAACATTTTATCAATTTATGATACATTATTCTTTTTTTCTATTCTAACAATTTATGACTAGACATGGTGACGACACACTCAAGTTATATCAACTTATTTTATGCCGTCGCCAACGCATAGGACGAATACGGAACATGACAATACTCATTTTCACTTGAGTTAAGAGAGGAAAGTCGTGTTAAGTGCCTTTCCCAAGGGCACAAGATCGGTGCCATGTCAGGACTCGAACCCGGTACCTCTTGGTTCCGAGTCGAAGTCGAGCACGCTACTGCTACGCCACACGACCCCACGGATACATTATTCACTATGCCAATGTTCGTAAAATATATGTCAGCGAGATTGTTTTACATTTAATGAGGTCACTCTGTAACGTTATATACCATGTTGTTACGGTCGGTAAGAATACTGATAAAGAGGATGAAAATGATGACAATTAGAGCGTCAGTGGGGACAATTTCGGGTCGCTGTGGGCGTTAAGGTTGGCTTGAGTTGTTTAGGACGGTCATGTGGTCATAGTGGCGTGACTATAGATAACTATGCTACACAGCCTTCTAATCATTTCGGCGTATTGTGTGGGGCACTTTGGCCAGGTCATAGGAGAATAATAACAGAAGGAATCTGTGGCCAAAATATCTTCGGGTAGAATTTCAGGTTTGACAATCGAATGGACCTGATTTGGGGTCGATGTAGACATGTACATGAGGGCGGAATTGGGTCACTGTGCAATTTAATTTCTTAAACGAAAATAAATTAAAAAAAAAACACACACACACACACACGTAGAAACCGCTTGTTGCGTATTATGTGACGTAAACAAACTGAATCACAACTGTGTACAACCCAGACAATAGCATTCTATGTCTTGAAATTTTATTTACAAAAATAGTCCTGAATTTTATTCTAAGTTTTTTTCTCGCTCACGCAGAAAAAGAACCTGCACAACCACTACTGAAGTGACCACCTGCCGTTCACCTGCCCTACTTGTTCTGTGTGCCTTTGTTTAGTCCCACGTAACCCCGTCCTTCATTCCTTCTTTCCTTTTAAAAAGAGGCCTTAAACAAGTATGTAACGTGAAGTTGGCTTTCTCAATGAAGCTCTTACAAAACGTTTTTACCAATTAAGAGCGTGTAAAATGGGATAGACTTACACATAATCTACACACCTTACACAGGTTAACCGGCAAGTTAGCCTTGTTTACAAAATAAAAGACGGAATCTCAATGGGAAAATGTTAAATTTGGACCACAGGTTTGTCTCAAGTAATGCAGAATGAAAGATCTAAAGTGACGTTTTTCTGCATATTTTCGGAATTGTCTGGAATTTGTATCCAATCTATTTTGAGTGCTGCACGATGTAGACAGAATTACTTTATGTGTTTACATAACAAACACTCCAGTCACCCCCTTAAGACCTAGATCACCATAAAATCACTGTTTTATGGCGATTTTACGTACATTAACGTTAGAGGTAAATCTGAATGAAACGGTTGTGCTTTCTCAAGTTTATATGCCTTTAAAACGTATCCATTATACAAACTAGGCTAGCCCCGTCTCAGTTTTCTTCACAACAAACAAGTGGTCCTAGACGCGTGTGAGTTTAAGATTGATCGATCGATCGAAAAACAGACCCTCAGGGATTTTTTCTCTCACCTGTGAAGAGCACCCTGCCCCTGCCGACCCTCTCGTGCGGGAAGTGCGGTGTGGGGATCTCCCATGTTGAGATGCTGGCCCGGGAGAGGGCCGTGGCGGGACGAGACTCTTCAGTGGCCACCGACATTCTTAGGGAGTCATGCAGACGGCTTCTTCCCGGATTCATTCAACTGGGTCGCAGGTGTTTGGGGTCATGACGCCACGGTTGCTAGGGCCGTTGCCAGGCGCTTTGTTGACCTTTCGTCGCCGAAATTATATAATCTACAACAAAATAAAGTGTTTTGTGTCTGAATAAAGAATAAATCGGATAAAAGGACGTAAAATGCTCGTATTTTGTTATTGAAAAAAAGTTGGGAAATAAAATTTGATGGTGGCAGTAAGATGACACTTTGACCTTTACTTGGATGTCCCACAGTCCTTTGCGATTAAAGATGGCGTCGATAAACAAAAGTTGTCGAAGTTGTTCGTTATTCTCGTGAAGAAGTGGACAATTTAAGGCACAATGGGGAATTACATGGGGTACGGGAGCGCGGAGAGGGAGGACACCGCTCCGGGGAAGAGGAAAAGAGATGACAAGGAAGACGAGCTGGAATCAGAAGACCTGGAAGAACTGAAACTGGAGACACCAAAACGGTAGGTCTGCATGCGCGTTTGCGTAACGTTTTCCTTTCTTCTATATATCGAACCACGTCCTGGTTACTGTGTTTTCTTATTAGCGTGTTGTAAAATACACAAAATCTTAAACCTTGAAACCTTGTGTGACATGGAAATTTGTGGATTGCTGTTGAACTGACCCAAAACCAGACGGTTAGACCAGACTCATAAATTAAATCATCTGTGAAGACTGTTGCTCCATATAATTTTATCTTCGACTTGCATGCGTAGAAAAATAAACTTCCGGTGATTTTCTGTTCGTTACTTATCTTCTAGCAGAAGTTTAGGCTTCAGCTTATTTTTGACGCATTTTCTTCGTTTTAATTTTGGTTTCTTCTTTGTTGTGAAATTTTGTTGACCCCACCAAATATGGTAACTGCATGACAAATGGATACAGCCAAAAATGGTGGCTGCAAGGACAGTATAAAAATATTTCCCAAAAAGAAAAGATCTGCTTGGAGAATACTTGTTATTAACGTCTTTAATGTTTGTTCACTCCCTGATAGGCAGTCATTATAGTTTATGACTAATTAGTAGTTGATTGATGTGTTTGTGTTAGTGGGGTGCTTCAGCAGCTGTTTACAGCAAAATAGATACCCCAGTAGATCAGAACACACAGACAGAATGGAATTGAATTGAATTGAATTGAATAAAGAGGTGTCTTTGTATATGGGAGTTTAGGTAGGCAAAATTAACTTGCTGATGAAAGTTTTACACTGGTGATCGTGAGTTAAAGTTAATCTGTAACTCTGGACTGTAGAATTTGGACCGTCATGTCAAGAAAATTATGCACATTTGCCACTATGGTAATGGGTTGGTGGAAAAACCTGTCCAGTCTGGACTGTGTTTTTTGTTGGATGGTGGAAAAACCTGTTGAACCAGACTGGACAGTTTTTTCTGCCAACCCCTATGGTAAGAACTGTAAAAAGAAAGAATACTAGAGGACTGAATAATAAGAACAAAACTAGAGAAGTTGATGCAGGAAGTTGATGATGTTTACCTTCGCATATGGTCTGCTCTGTTAATTCTCAAACACATTCACATACATGTAGTACTAGTATATGGTGACAGGAGCAGAGCAGACCATGAAATTGCAACATTATGTAACCCAACGCCAGTCACCATGGTGACAGACGTCAACAAATCATGTCATTGGTCAAGTCATAGGTCACTGTCTGGAAAAGAAGAAGAGGAAGGAACGGAGCAAGAACAATATGTTTTCCTTCGGTAAACATAATCATCATCCGAAATTCAAAACCTTAATTCCAGGAAGAAGATGAAGAACACAGCAGAGTACATCTATGAGACGTTGTTCCTGCATGGAGAGAACAGTGACATCAGGATCATCGCTCTGGGCAGGGAGTGGCCACTGCACAAGATCTACCTGTGTCAGGTACATGTAGGGTTCAAACAGCAGGGTTCTCATCACTAGGCTGTTTGAGTGTAGGGGCTCCATACACTGTGATTTGAATCTCCTATATGATGTGGTTTAGCCCCCTACACTGTTTTTCAACCAGCGTAGGGTCTTTCTCTTTGGGGAGGACCATGTGACCTTTTATGAATCTAGAAAAATTAAAATTTTGAATTTACACTTGTAAGTTGAAGCTAAAAGTTAGTACATTTGTAACAGAGGAAAAAGATAACTTTACAAAATTTGTCCTTTAATAAGCAGAAAATAATGTCTCTAACAATGGCCCCAGCCACCGTGATGTAACTGTGTAGGTTTCACCCTCCTAGCAGCTTGTTCCGGAACTGCAGGACCATTCTTGGTAGAATCTTGGAATTAGAAATTCAGACAGATCCCAACCCTGAAATTAAGACAGATCCCAACCCTGAAACGCTTCAAGGCAGCTGTTAAACAGACCTCTGACCTCCACTGATTCAATGATTTGTATATTTTTGTTCAGTTGTTTATATGTTTATATATGTTAACTTTTCGGTTATACTGATTTTCAGTTATACTGATTTCTGTTAACTTTTGTTACTTGATTGTATAATTTACTTTTATACAATTTGCTTTATGTTATGTTATATTTGTTTGTGACCCTGGGCCCTCTTGAAAATCAGCAATATTATGCTGTAGAGGCTACCCAGGTGTTTACAAGATGAAATAAATAAATAAATAAATAAAGAAATGTAACATTTGCAAAGCAAATGCATGATGTTTACCTTCATATATGGTCTGCTCTGTTACTTCTTACTCAAATACATTATGGTCAGACATGAGTATAAATCCCTCCTACTATAAAATTGCAACATTATGTAAGTACAGTAACCCAACACCAGTTACCATGGTGTCAGCAAATCAGATCATTGACCAGGTCAGAGGTCACTGTTTGGAGAAGGAGAGGAAGAAACGTAGCAAAAACAATATGTTTTCCTTTGGTAAATATAAATAGGACAAGAATCAACATGTTCTCAAAATTTCTTTGATTTAATTATATATCCCACGTTGCCCTCCAGTCTGGGTTCTTCTCCAGTATGTTCAGTGGTTCCTGGAAGGAGTCTAACCTGTCTGAAGTCACCCTCAACATTCCTGATGACAACATAGACGAGGAAGGTCAGTTCTCTTCTACTTAGGCCACACCGACAAAATTTTCAGTCAGACATCCTCTGAAGACCCCCAAGCTAGTGTGTGCGGGCAAATGAATAAAAATCCTGCCAAAAATAAAAATGCTACTAAACCACAGCAATACAAAGCTGGTATTGTGAATTTGTGGCCGCAGAACATAGCGACGTATACAACAAGCCGGCACATGCTGGCTTTTTGCAGAATTTATGAATCGGCACTGTACGCAGTACTGCGTTCTTGAGTCATGGAGCTTTGGTAGCCTGGGTACCACCCTCCAGAGTTACCACCTGGTCCATATCATCGCTAACAGCCTCAGAGGATGTTTTTTTTTTTTTGAGAACAGGCAAAAATCAATGCGCGCAGATGTCATCCATAAAATTAAGTCGGTGTGGCCTTACATATGTTTGTAATACCAGTACGATGCTAAACTTTATTTCAACACAAAGGGTACACAAGGATGAAATTGTCAACGGCCTATGTTGACTAATCACTAGTACATTGTATTTCAAGCCCTGTGCTGAGACTCATTCCATGTACACATCTTGTATTTTACAGCGCTGCAGATAGCGTTTGGTTCTCTGTACAGGGATGACGTGCTGATCAAACCATCCAGGGTGGTGTCTGTACTGGCAGCCGCCTCACTACTACAGCTGGTATGAAACAAACAGCTCTCTGTATATACATGTAGCTCTGAAGACTTCAGAATCAATTCTCTGTTCAGGTGTGAGAACCGGTGTTTTAGCCAGTGTACAGCTTTCCGTCGTTTGACAGAATTTTGCTGCTCATGACGGACAAAAATATTTCCCAATATGTCATCTTTGATAGATAAAAATTGGTGTGTAAAGATAAAGATAAAGACAGAGATGTCATTAAAAATAGGCTTAGTCTACCAAGAAAACTCATGCACAGGTTAGAAGAACTATGAACTGTATGAGCCATGTGAATTATCAATCTGAACCTAGACATGTTGGTTATGTGATGATCAATTTATGATGTTAAAAGTATATTTTTTCCCCTGCCCTCTAGGATGGACTGATCCAGCAGTGTGCCGACATTATGAAGGAGACTATCAGGTTACAACATGTTTCTGTTAATAATTGTTATTTTTGAAATTATGTCCAAAAAATGGGATATCTGTTCTCTGGGCATTAAAGACTTTACTATTCGATCATTCATTCATTCAGTCAGATAAAATTACTGTTTCTCCATCCAACAGTTCCAAGACGGTGTGTTCGTACCACCAGGCTGCCATGATGTATGGTCAGGGGGAGGTCACTAACAGGTCAGTCTACATACACAGGCGTTGAAATACCCTTTTCTAACATTCAAAAAGAATGAAAACTAGAAAGGTAACATTTGCAAAGCAAATGCATAATGTTTACCTTCGCATATGGTCTGCTCTGTTAATTCTTACTCAAACACATTCACATATATGGTGACAGGAGTCTAAATCCCTCATATTATAAAACTGCAACAATTACCATGGTGAGGGACAGTCTGACATTGGCCAGGTCAGAGGTCAGTGTTTGGAGTGGAAGACGAACAAGAAGAAGAAACAGAGTAAAAACAATTTCCTTCCGTAAACATGATATTTTGTAACAGAGTAGTCACCCCTGTTGTAAAATCTGTACTTTCAGATGTCTGGACTGGTTGGAGAAGAACTTGATGGCCCAGCAGAGCATCCCACTCCTCAAGGAGCTTAGGTAAGATTTCATGGTGCACATAACACCTATACAACAGTTTTAGACCACATTCAAAGGACAGTCTGTGTGGCCATTGGCTATCCTCAAGCTGCAAAGCTGGACTACCTCTCACACAGATGAAAAATTACCTCTCTTTCCCTATTCTACAGATACTTTCATGGGCACTGTTCAGAACAACTTTCACTTAACTTCTCCCACCACTCAGAACTTTTTTCAGCATGCCACTAGGTTCTCTTTCAGTTTACATTGTCAAACTGTTCAAATTCCTGTTTCAAAGTCTTTCTACAGCAACAGTTTCTTTTCTTGGACTGCAAAATCATGGAACTCTATTCTAATTTGCAAAAATGATGCAAACAGATGCTTCCCTTAACAGCCCACACGAGGCACACTTAGTTTGTGGTACCACCACAAACTATCAAAATGTAAACAAACATGGCTGACAGCTGTGTTTCTTAGGTGTTTTTAACACATTCGTTAGTCGTCGACATGTTTTGACACCTCCACTTTCTGAATGACACTTATTTGCAGTAGGGTTGATTCAGCTTTCTTATAAAGAAATGATTAAAAAATTTACTTGTTGCATCAGTCTAATGTTACATAATGCATCTTAAACTAGAAAGGCCAATATTTGCTTTGGAGCAAATACAGCGATGGGTTCACCACATTTTACGACATGGCAGGGAAAGAATGGGAAACACAAGGGAAAACAATGATTTACATTGATATAACTATAATATGAAGTAAAATACAACTAAAACAACAGTTGGATAGCTATTCCCTACTTTATTGGTGAGGATTTTTAATTGCATAATGCAAACTGTTGATTTTCAAAATAAAAAAAATCGTCCATGCCCGGCATTCCAATGCTGGAGCAGGAAAGCTTGAAATACCTACCAAAACACTTGAATACAGACATACTGTCAGTATGGAAATGCTTCTGTGCAGGTGTTAATCAAGTTAAATCCCAACAGCCAATCAGCAAGAAGTATAGAGGAAAGCTGCATGCCTATTGGTTGATGCCCTGCA